ATGAAGCAGGTGTACAAACTGCACAAAAAAAAGACAAATTGTATTAGTTTGTTAGTTAGTATTTTTAAGAGTAAATTTTTTGTGATATACTTAAAACAAGAAAAACCTTTTGTGCAGGTTTAAAAGCCCGTCATACCTTAGAAAATAACATGGCCCTCAATTAGAGCTGGCATTTGTAGAATTAACTAGCTCCAATGGTTCATATCACTCAAATATTGACTTAATTTATATTGACAGGATTAGGTCTTATTTTATGAGTCTTCAGATTTATGTTGTAGTTGTAGCTCTTTGAAATGCAGCAGAGAAGAGGAAACACAACTCTCATTAAGCCCAGTGCCAGAGGTCAAAGGTGAACACCCAGTGACCTTCTGGTCACTTCTTGTTTCACAAATGGACTACAGGTTGAAAATGAAGTCAACTTTATGGGGGCATTAGTATCAATCTGCTGTGATGTGATGGCAGAAAAATACATCTCTAATGACTTATAAAGTTGGCTTTATAAGAGAAAAGTGAGGGGACAAACAATACAACAGAGTAGCTGTAGGGTCTTAAATACATTTAAAAGTAATTGAATAAAAACAAATCAATTTTGACAGACGTTCAGATACGTTTCCAAGTCACAACAAAAGCTCCCTTCATCTTCTTGCTTTAGTAATCCAGTTTCTCGGCTCATTCCCTGCCGATACAAAGTCAAATTTCCTCTCTAGAGCTGACTTTCCAGATGAGCAGTAACATGTTTTTAATGATCAAGAGCTGTAGCAGGCTGGGTTTCAGGTACCTGGCCTGGAGTCCAAAGAATGACCCTCATTGTTGGAGGGCATGGCAGCATTTCCTGTTCAGTACGGCCATGCTGAGATTTTAATTACTCTGCAGCGGGGCTTCAGGATTGATTGAGCAGCAATGGAAACAAACGCAGCCCTTCTTTAATGTGGGAAAATAACAGTCGTCTGGATTCAGCATGACTGAGCCACACATAAAAATATAGCTTTAATATTGAGCAAGATAATAAGGCAGTTGTTTATAGTGATTTTAACACAGACTGCTCATAACAATGATTACTGGTACAGTTAAATGCATACTGGTCAAAAGTTTGGAATAATTAAGGTTTTTACTGTTTTCAGCATTGCCAATAATACAAAATATTTCTTGAGCACTGAATCAGCATATTAGAATTTTGAGGATTTCACATTATTAGTGTTTTTACTGTATTTCTGATTAAATAAATGCAGCTTTGGTGAACATGAGACAAAAAATAAAATAAAAAATATTCTTAAGTTCTGACCAAAGTTTTGATCTAATCAGGCTTTCATGAAGATTCAAAATAATTATCTGTGACTACAATTTAGTCATAAATCATGCATGCTGGACAAAATGTAACTGCTTTTTTGGTGTGTGAATACACTATCAGTTTCCAGGACAGGGTGGAGACAACAACAGATAATGATGTAAGTGTGAAAATTGTCTTCAGAGGAAGACGGAGACAGTGGGAAAATCTCACAGGACAGACTGGATGTCTGCTGCAGTGTGATGGGAGGACTTGAGGAAGGACTGCACTGAGAGAAGTGCACAATCACAGCTTCAGCTTCACACTGACTGAATTACACGATGATGACAGACCCGGGAGGAATAAGGACTCAGGATACACCAAAATATGAATTACGAATCCTAAAAATTGCTTCTGGTGTTCTGAAATTCTAACAAAAAACCTGCATTTGAACAGCAATACAAGAGGCACAGACAAAAAGAGTGAGCAAGGCAGAAACAAAAGGACAGATTTAAAAGAAAAACATTACATTTTTACAGCATATATCAGAATATTGAAAATATAATTGCTGAATTATTTGCTCTAAAAAAGTATTAGCATGCGAGCCTAATTATCAGTGATCACCATCATGTTTGCCGAGTCTAATAAAGTTGTTTCTGAAGATCCAGTTGCTTTGTGTGTGTGCGTAGCTGCAGCTCTCACTCATTCTGTCTGAGTTTTCTAATTCATTAAACTCTAATCGGAGTCGAATTCAATGAAATTCCAGCAGAGAAAACCCTAAAAGGTTATGAGTAAGAATACACAGTGCTGGATGAACAAGTATACACAGGTCACATTATGTCTGGCATTACACCAGCTGCTGTTGGCTTCATGCTCTCCATGAGTCCAAATACACAGACTCTGAGCTTCTGAGTCAACAAAACTTGATCTTGGCAACACAAAAAGAAACACACAAAGTTAAAAACACACATTTTCAAAAAGTTAATGACCACAAGAGATACGGTGCTAAAATACCTTCCATTGTTTGCCCAGTGCAGAGAAATACTTTTAATGGTGTGCATGACGGTTCGGATCTCTACATGGCCAAGCCAATGTAAATCTTAGCTGCTTTCTAAAAACAGGAAAGTGTTGGCAGATAACGAGTGGGAACGTTCCATTGTCTGAACAGACCTCTGACACCAGGTTTTCCCTTGCTTTGCAGACCTGGCGCTGACTGTCACTTTACTAACAGGAGACAGAAGTGCTCTGTGCCCCCCACCCAACTCACAGTTTTACATTTATGCAGAAATACTTTCAGTTCTTGTGTGAACATGGACTCAAATTGTTTATTCCTTCCTTGTCACTTGTCTCAAAAAATGTTCAACATTACTCAAAAAATATGGGTAATCATTCTGGTTACTGGGTGGGAATTCCTACTTCCATTAAACATCTGACAACTATTGTTGTTATAGTTGTTATTGTTATTACTAATGCATGCATGTATGTATTTAATAAAAATTCCTGTTAACATATTTCTTAAAAATCAAGCATTTATCTTCCAGATCTAACAGGACATATATCAAATATGTAGATCTATAAACCTAATACCATTTCTTTAAAAATCTGTTTTTAGAGGATGTGGGGTCGGGTGGGTGGGGGTTTGTTTGAATAATTTATTTCTCATGAAAAGCAACAAGATGGCTGTCTGACCTAGATATCTAACCCCAATTAAAAATGTATGATCCTGACTTTCTCCTGTGATTCGCATGATTCCACCACTGCAAATGCTTTAGTCAAACACAAAGTTTAGAAATATTACATATTTATGTCACAAGAAAATATTTATTTGATTTGATTTTGTCAATAAATGTATTTAATATTATTTATTTTACCCCTCTCAAAAAAGTAAAATAAGTGTGAATGCTGCTTATTTTGTTACCTCAACAATTAGCTGAAGCCTAGTAAAATTTAAGGCATATTACTGGGATAAGAGTACAACACATTTAGCAGTAACAGTAAAGGAAAAGCTGTGAGACCGATCAGAGACTTTTAACAACATTGTTTGTCTGGTGTAAATTTGATTAACAATTTTTTGGTCAACAGGTCAGTATATGTCAACACAACTTTTTTGTTTTGCACTATAAATACATATGAAACACAATACTCATACATATGAAACAATATGTGAACACTTTGTTCCTTCAGAATGATAAAAGGACCAGTTGACAATATAATCATATTGTTAATGAGTTGACAGTTTGAATTCAGTGAAACAGTTAAGACTGAACTTTCCACCGAACAAAGTAGAGGAACCAAGTTTTAGCAGGACAATTACATCTAATTGATAGCCGTGTCAATCAGACAGGCACGGGGTGATGACTGCTGTCTCGAAAACATGTTTCACCATCCACACACAGCCCGTCTTTGATCAACCGCACACTTTGATTACCCCACACATAATGACAGGTTATTTTTGTTAAATATCTTAAATGAGATCTTCAGATGCTGGTTACCACGGGAAGAAAACCATAGTACAGTATATACTTCAATGATTCAATGCACTATGAACATTTTCTATGAAGGACTGAAAAACAATGTAAGCAAATGATCATATCTGATATAATGCAAAATATTTAAATAAATAAACTCTTTATAGCTTTTATAGAATATTTGTGTGACTTTCCATTAAGGAGAGATCAGCTGTTAAGGGCTACATGATTCAAAAGCACAGTTAACTGACAGGCATGTGCTAATGGCGAGTGAAGAACTGTCTAAACTA